CCTCCTCCTCCTCCTCCTCCTCCTCCTCCTCCCTCTCAACCTTCCTTTCTTTCTCCTCCTCCTTCCCCTTCGACCTCTTTTCCTTCTTTCTCCTCTTCCTCCTCCTCCTCCTCCCTCTCAACCTTCCTTTCTTTCTCCTCTTCCTCCTCCTCCTCCGTCCCCTTCACCCTCTCTTCCTCTTCCTCCTTCCCTTCTTCCTCCTCCTCCTCCCTCTCAACCTTCCTTTCTTTCTCCTCCTTCTCCTCTTCCTCCTTCCCCTTCAACCTCTCTTCCTTCTCCCTCTCAATCTTCTTTCTTTCTCCTCCTTCTCCTCCTCCTCCTCCCCTTCACCCTCTTTTCCTCTTCCTCCTTCCCTTCCTCTTCCTCCTCCTCCGTCTCAACCTTCCTTTCTTTCTCCTCTTCCTCCTTCCCCTTCAACCTCTCTTCCTCCTCCTACCTCTCAATCTTCTTTCTTTCTCCTCCTTCTCCTCCTCCTCCTCCTCCCCTTCACCCTCTCTTCCTCTTCCTCCTTCCCTTCTTCCTCCTCCTCCCTCTCAATCTTCTTTCTTTCTCCTCTTTCTCCTCCTCCTCCATCCCCTTCACCCTCTCCTCCTCCTTCCCTTTTTCCTACTCTTCCTCCTCCCCATCTCTCTCCCCCTCCTCCTCCTCTTTCTTTTTCTTCCTCTCCTTCTTTCTTCCTCCTCCTTTTCCTCCTTCTTCCCCCCCTCTTCCTCCCCCCCCCAAGCAAGATTGCTGCAGCCAGTCTGTAGGGCACCATCCCCAAAAGTTGACACTGCCCATAAAACACAAGCAAAGCCTGAATAAGTCCATCGTGGCTGCCCATTTGATTTTGGAGTGGTAGTGGGGGGGGGCCTCAGCAGCAGTACTTAGCCCCCCCCCAATCTCCCCCAACCTCTCTCTCTGTGTTGTCTGATTCTGAGGTTGTGCAGCACATTGGAAGGAGACACAAAGCTTTGTTAGTGCTACCTTTTTACGGATGGGGGGGCGCTACGTTTTCTCTGCAAACCGACCCTCCTTCTTGTGTTTGGGATCCGTTGAACCACAAGACCAGAGTTTCCAACCTTGGCAACTTTAAGGTGGGTGGATTTCAGCTCCCAGGATTCCCCACCAGGCACGTGCGGATTTCAGCTCCCAGGATTCCCCACCAGGCGCGTGCGGATTTCAGCTCCCAGGATTCCCCACCAGGCGCGTG